TTCCGGTTATTCAATATGTCAGCATACACAACTGGACCTGTAAATTAACCAAGTGTAATTTTGTTGCTTTTTTTTGTCAATAATTTTGTCGTTTTGCATTGGCGGGAAAAATCGTTACCAAGTTTACCATTTGTTTATTCTTCAATATCTTTTATTCTGCTTGTTCTATCCATATAAAACAAATCTCTTTCACAGAGAGCAATAGGAATTATTCCCACAACTGCTTTACAATACAATGCAATCATAAACTCATCGAAACAAGCTTTAGAATTAATCATTTCTGCACTCAACCCAATTCTCTCCATAACAACCTTAATCATCTCCTTATCTGCAACGTATTCTGAGCGTGAGCCATCATACTCGTAGCAAACATCATTTTTTAGAATTTCTTTTTCTTCTTGGAAAATTACTACAATAGATCTTAGTAGTGAACCATTACCACTTCCATAATCGCATCTATAAACTTTAAAATATAGTTGAGTCAATTCGGTATTTCCTTGAATATTTGGAATGATAAAATCATATTCACAATCTGACTGATCATAAGAAAAGAAATCAAAAGAGGTTTTCTGGATAAAGATGTAAGGTGAAAGTTGGCGAATCATTTCGGAAACTAATTCGTCATTGGATTCGTTAAGGATAGCAGGCTCATAACACATTGATTGTTAGGCTTCCACTGATTTCAAACAGTCAATCGATTGTTGAGCAAGAAAACAGTTTCGAATACAATTTAACATGAACTGAGTATTGTTTCGATTGGGATGTGAAAGAATTTCAACCTTCTCTTCAATTCCTCTTGCTTTCATACCCTTATCCAAATTGGCAATCATCATACTGTGCCAGAAATCATGAGAATTAATAAAAGTTTCGTTCCAATCTTTGCAAACTAATCTCATCATGAGAATTTGACCAATGTTGGATTTATCTTCATCATTTGCAAGGAAGGCAACAATTTCCTGTACAAGGACTCCACTGTTGGACAGTAATTGGTTTGACATTTTTTTCTCAAGATTTTAAGTGGCCCATATCCAGTCAACCATCCAAATGATCCATGAATAAAAATAAGTTGAAATTTACATGTTCATTTGAATTTATTGCTTTTATTTTGTCTAATATAGTGGATTTTAATACTTGGAATTCCAACAAGAAATAAAAGTTGTTGTTTGGGATTTCGGGGGATCTTCCCGCCAAACAATAATGAAAAAATGCACAAAACGTCTAACTGTAGGTGATGGTCCTAAAAACAAAAAGCAAAAGCAAGAACCCGAAACCACCAAACCTTTCTCTTCTCCACAGACTCATGTATTAATAACAA